TAAGTACCAAAGAGGATACAGAAAACAACCGAGGTGGAAATCCTAAGAACAATAACGGGATACACAGTGAACGACAGGGAGACAAGCATGGCCATAAGCGAAAAGTGCCATACTGACGACATAGTGAGATTGATACGAAAGAGAAGAAGAGATTGGAACCTGTATGTAAACAAAATGGATAACGACGGACTGGTCAAAATAGTACGTTAAAACAACCCACATGGAAGAAGACCTATTGGACGTCCACCAAAGATGTGGAGTGACAGTTGGCATTCAACGTCACAGGAAGTGCTGTAGAGAAATCGGAACTGAACAGGCGGTACGCTTTCTATACCATGATGATGATGATCAACAGCCTTAAAGAGATGTAACAAAAATGGCCTGATCCTATATTCTACGTATTAATTCGTGATAAAATATTCTGTTGGATTCATCGTGTAAACGGCACTTAATGTATCTAATCAGCCCTGTGCTGCATCATAAATTCTATTTTTAACGGCCACACGTTATGGTAACTTAACAGTTCAGGATAACAGTTTCGATAACGCAGCAACACAACCGATGTGGCAACACAAACGTTAAAAATGAAAAATATGTTGGATGCATAAAGTGAGATGCTTTTATACGAATAGTCTATTAGTTAGAGATAGAGTTAACATCAAACCATTGAAGGTTCTAAAACATATGCACCACATGTGCACGTTTTGACCATTTGGCTCACCTACTACCATACTTGTTTTTGTTTATGAATTGCATTCACTTTCACTTCCGTTCTTTACTGTTCTTGACGTATGTTCTCAAACGCTTTCAATGGAGCATGCACAGAAAAGGCAAAAAAACAACCCGCAAACAATTTGAAAATTTAGTAGAGTTTGTGGAGGAAAATAAAGTTTATTTTCGAGATCATTTACCAATTGTTGTAATAAATAATTTATTCCCCGAGGTTAACTTCCAGGGACGCACGTTAAGTTCGAAAGCAGCATGTGATTTGATGCGGTTATTCTGAAGCGCTATTTCTTAATATAACGTTCGTCGATAGCCTGCGCCTGTTATAATATAACGGTTTGATTGATACAACACACCAGTTGGAGCCACATAACGTGTTTGACGGATAACATGCAAATTAAATTTAACGTGAGTGATACAGCACAGAGCTGCATATACGTTATCTTTTAGGCACTTCGAATATTTAATCCGAAAGTACACTTAATGATGTTGTTCAACCGCAAAAGATAATGTTTAAATTTACATTTTTTCTTATATTAAGTAGCGCCATAACTATTTTCCGTTTCTATTATGACACATTTGTTTTGCTCTCATTCAGTTCAAAAATTATATTAGTTAATTATGTATTGCCAGTATTATTTCTAACCTTCTCCCATCTTTCCGGCGTCAGTATACCAATTCCGTCCATGTAAAATGTGGTTAGATTGGGTGGACTGTTAAGATTTTCAACAGCCGTTGACTTGTTCTTCAGAATTGAAGGAACTATTAAAAATTGTTGTCAGGGGCAGAAAAAGCGGTAGTCTGTCGAGGCAAGATTTCGTAATTGACCAATGCAGGACGTATCTATCAGCAGGAATTGTTAAATTTTACTTCACTAACTTGGGGTAAATTATTCCTTCACAATCCCATTATACACATTTTTTATAGCAAATTTCCATTCTGCTCAACATTATGCAAAATAAACTCAACTAATTTTCCCTTACTTACAATACAAATGTTTATTATTTCCCCATATTTACTAACAATGTTCAAAGTATTATTTGTTCTTATAATCTGCATCAAAACCCAGTCTTTGCGTTTTACGAAACACAATGTGTGTGCTAAAAATATTATTTGCATGTGCATCGTGCATGTATGAGCACAACTACGTATTTTTTTCTACAGTCATGTTCAAACAACGGCTGAACCCAGGTGGAACAAACCTGTTAGTTTTTTTAGAAAACAAAGTTAGATATTTCTATAGATTACTGTAGCTCTCAATCGCAAATTATTTATTTTATCATTTGTTGGCTATTAAAAGACATGTTTTCCACAACAATAATAAAACTTCAACCCATGCTTCGATCTTGAAAGTTTTAACAAAATTTACAATATCATTAATAGATAACTTATAGACACGACTGTTCAAAGTTCAAAATATTATTTTAAACACTTTTGCAGATCAATTGCTTTGCTCAAATTATTTTTCATCACTTTAAAATATGTTAATTTTTGTGTGGGCACTTGACTAATATTTTTCACATTTTCAGTAAAGCAGTATTTTCGTCTCCATAGTATCTTCTAAGTCTTCATCATTTCAGTGGTTTTTGTGTTGCCCCCTGGATTTCTAACCTACCACATTTCTAGCTGCTTCTGTAATTGTTCCAGATATAAACTTGCTATGCGCCTCCGTATCATTAGTAGTGTTTTCTCTGATAAGTCGCCCTTGTTCTTCATGATAATGTTCTCTCATCTCTGTCTGATAAAGCTCTTCTGTATTCCACTGAGGAGAGGGACGACCCGTTGGCGTGTTCTTTACTGTAGATACTCTGGCTTTGACCAGGAAATGATCTGAATAGACATCTGCCCCCCTGCAGCTTCTCACGTCTATTACATCCCGTCCGTGCCTTGCATCAATTATAAGAGTGATCTATTTGTTTCCTGGTTACACCATCCTTAGTTACCCATGTCATTTTGTGTATGTCTTCGTGCTCTAACATAGTGGACTTTTTTAACAGCTTATTTGATGTTGTAATATCTGCCGCTTTCAGGCCATTGTCGTTGGAAGCATTGTGCAGGCTGTGCATGCCCACATGAGGTATTTTCACGTCCAATTTTTGCATTGAAATCTCCCAGGATGAGGAGTCATGTTATGTTTGGGGGAAGTTAGGTTAGATTCCTCTCCAAAGTGTCGCAAAACAGATCCCGTATACCCTCATCTTTGTCTTCCGTTGGTGTATGCACCGATACAAGCGAGTAGCTGTAAAAAGTGCCTTTTTGTGCCTGTAGAAGAACCTTACAACTGAGTTCAGCAGAGATTTCTTTAGTGCAAAACCTGTTCCGAAAGGGTGGGCGTTTCGGTCATTGGCACTATAGAAAAGTACTGAATTTCCAACGTCAGTATGACCCACTCCAGGCCGCCATTTTTCTTGCAGAGCGGTGGTACCCATTAATTCTTTCCATTTCTCTGATCGGTTTCCTTGTGGCAACGTCGATGAAAACTGAGCAAGTTCCAGGTTCCAATATTCATATGTTATTTTCTTGTTCTTTATCCGTTGCTTCTTTATAACCGATAATTTTTTCTCGAGCTGGGGTGGTTAGCGTCACGTGCAACCTTCTTTTTTTTTCAAAACGAGCTTAGATCGGTAGAGTTCAAGTTCAGATATCAAGGATTAAATCACCAGAAGTTAAGAAAACCAAATTGAAAAATCCCTATTGATAGATATACAAATATGTTCAACTGTTGCTCATTATTGATTTCAGTTGTCAATACTGCAAGTGAAACTAAAGGAAAACGCCCTGCACTGGTCAAACGCAAAATAATGCCCCGACAGACTACCACCTTTTCTGTTCCTTGCAATACTTTTTTCATGGGAAACTTTGAGAATTCTGAAGAACACGTCATACAGGATGTTGAAAAGTTTTTCCAGCGCAGTTGGTCAACTGCCAGAAAAATGAGAGATGTTTCTAGATAATAAACGTTAGTTATTTATAACTCGATTTAGAACAAAGAAAAAAGTTGACATTAAAAATTTTTTTCCAAGTTGAACAACATTGCTAAATGCACTTTCGTGTCCAATAGTCCAAGTGCCGAAAAAATTACGTATATTAGACACAGTTCATATGTATATCAATACGTACAAATTCGAAAACCGCTAAACATGTCACGAATTAAATGGCCCCTCAGATAATTTGAAATGACTGAATTTGAAGCTAAAAAGTGAAAAAAAAATCATCTTTTAATGCAAAATACATAATGGATATGCGATGACATACTAATGTAAGTTATTTTCAATACATTGAAAAGTGGAATGTATCTACTGAGGGAATCGTTTCTTGGTATTAAGATCAAAAAACTTATGTGCTGACTATCTAGCGTTCTAAATTTTAATTTTGTCGCCAGGTCAGCTGTTCTTTTTGCTCCAGAGAGAAGCAAAGAAAACAATAATTATAAAAAGTTGACTGACTTTTTGAGGATTAAGTCATTCCATTAATTTAATTGCATTTTGCAGTGTGTCGGAGCGAATAGCACAGAAGGAGAATAGGAAATCATAATATTTAATCATCTTGTGTTCAAGAAAAGAATTCATGCTGAGGATATAGCAACTAATTCGTTGTGTTAAATCTCGTTAACATGCTACCACGCAACTGTTGTTGTTGAAAATTTATCAATTTGAACTAAATAATAATCTAGAAATAATTCTAGCACAAACAAACTTAATTCACTTTCGGAAAGATGGTTTTTACAATGTCAATGCTGAAGCCCAGCGACCTGTAAATTCTTATTCAATCAAATTATATTCAACTAATTTAATTATCTCAAATCAAATATTAGTAGAAAACCATTAATTTATATTTCATCCACTTTTATGAATAAATCTATGTTTTATTAGCTACTAACGGCAGTGGTTGATCTAAACGTTACATTCGGAAAGTATAATTAACACTGAATTCCGCGAATATAATTGTCCATATATGAGGGATAAGACCCTAAGTAGGACGAGCCTACAATACAGTCATTTAGCTGCGACAAACAAAGTCATTTATCATGAGGGAAAACCCCTATGTGAAACATAACGCCCATAAGTAATTACATATTTTTAGATATCTGAAAACATACTTTTCTTGGTAAACAATACAATTAAATTTTTCCTTGTAATGGAAACCTACTTTTACTGCATTTTATAATAAATACCCACTGAAAATATAACCGTATTTATTCTGAAGTTATGCGATTAGGTTGTAATGCGTATAACCCAAATAATTAATATCTTGCTTAAATAAGGTAATGTTTTTGTTTTTTGCTCATCTTATGTATTCGAGATTCATTCATCAGATTTCAGTTATTCCATCAGATTACCTTCATCATCGTGCATCAGGCTGCAAACGTATTTTACTTGCTTATTTTGATATAGCATGTTTAAAATGATTTGGACAACATCGGCTTTGTTTCCTATGTTGTGTTTCATAGTGGTATGTATAGATAATTCAAATACATTTTTATTCGCTATTTTTAAGCTAAAAATATATTTAGTAGCTGTAGAAAGCGAGTTGTGTCAATTCCCATAGCTAATATATAAAAAAGCAATTAATTTCAAATTATTTCAACATGCTATTAAGCATTTTCGCTGAAATATTAAGAACGGAAACAGCAGATAACTAATATACCAGCAGATAATTCTTTGCTCGTGTATTGTTTACCTTTCTTTTATTTGTATTGTGCGCTATGTGACAGGTTTCATCTATAATTTTGTATAGTTTGTGAAACGAATAAGGAATTTGTGAATATTTTGTGAACATTTTTCTTCCATTTCGTGTGTTTTCTCGATAGTCTGATCTTACAGGTGGAATGGAAATCTAGTGGGCATATTACCATCCTAAAGTTTTCAGGTTCATGAAAACTTCAGCTATTCGGATTGATTATACTTACGTCCACACCATTCATGGGTTCATGATAAAAACATAAAAATGCGAATATTGAAAACTATACAAACTAACATTCTCCAAAGGGTACATTTTTCATTATATATTCTACAATATTTTTTGAAACTGACTTAATTTTTCTGATTTCTGTGAGTAGTATAATACTAACATTCCTTCCATGAGTATTAAATTACATGCGGTCTTTTTAACATATTTACAGTTGTATTACAATTTTTTTCAATTTATCCAAAGCTGTTCCTCTTTAAAATCTGATCTATATCTGATTTTATCAGACAATCAATCATCTGAAATATTTATTGCATTTTGATATTTTGATTTACATCGTCTCAGCTGCCTGCACATGTATTAAATAGCAAATATTTATTTGAAAAAGATTGAATTGACGATATTTGTGCACATTTTTGGCGTTTATGTGTTTGACGAAACATGGTTTTGTAAAACATATCTTTTCCTCCATCCACATTACTCTCATCAAAATTTTTTTAAATGCTATCTCGATATATTTATTATGCTAAGAGTTTAACATATTACTTTCCTGATCACTTTTCCTTAATTGGCAATCATACCGCAAAACTGTTCTACTTATTTCATAGTACATCGCCTGGGGCTTGCAGTATAAAAAATATTTTCAATGCCATAATATTTTGTCGTTTCAATTATATTCCACCCTTTTGGTAGGCATCAGTGAAGGTAAATGGCAAAAATTATTTCCTAAGGTATTTTGACCAATACAAAATAATGTGCTTAAAAATAATATTTAAATTTTCACGATTGTCGAACACGGAAATACAGCCCATCAAAGATGAATTATCTAATCTTCAAATTCTTCAGCGATTTTAATATTTCCCAATATTGCAATTTTCTCCATTTCTTTTCAACTAAACTTAGAAGGATTTCTTCAGAACTGAATAAGAGGGCTTTCATGAATCGTGAAACTTTATAAATGTTGAAGTTTTGACCATTTCATCATTTCAACATATTTACATGGTGAACTAAACTATAACTTATTTATAACTTATTTCATATCTACAATAAGCATGTTTCCAGTTGTTTTCCATTCAGTTCAATCTATAAACTATGATAATTTACTGACTGGAACTGATTTTCATTAGCAATCTGTACCTATTCCTAATAACTTACTGGTGACAGTACCGAATGGTGCAATCCAGGGAGCAGCCTATTCAACAGGAAATAATATAAGTTATTTCGGATTTAGAGGTATTCCTTTTGCTACCCCTCCCATAGATGATTTACGATTCGAGGTAAAATTTGAGAGGAAAAAATATTTAAGAACGTAACAAATAATCCATATTATTTAGCCTCCACAGCCAGCTCAACCGTGGACTGGAATTTTGGATGCAACACAGGATGCAAGTGGGTGCATTTCGATATTCTATGGCGACAGTACAGTGGTTGAAAGTGAAGATTGTCTATATTTGAATGTTTATGTTCCCAATGTTCAGGTAAGATTTTCGTTAATCAACTTTACTTCTATTCGCTAATTTTTCTTCATCTTTTATTCTATAAATCTTCTAAAATATAATAGTTCAATGCAACCTCAGTATTCGAAATGCGTTTACACTTAGCTTGTATACCTCAAAATGCATACTACGTTCTCTTATTAAATAAGGAATATTAATAACTTTTAAAAAGTCTGCAACTCACAATAAAAGTCATATAAGTACATTGATGTGAGTAATTGAATTGCAAAAAACTTCTATAGAAAAAATTCACGTTTTATTGAATGCTATTTCCAAATATTAACATTTTGTTCAGAAATATTTTTTTACAAAGCCCAGCATATAACCGAGTTATTATTTTATGGCGTATTTGTCTAACTTAGCAGGATTAGTAATACTGTATCAAATGTATCAAAGAATTGGATACACATTTAACCAATTTTAAACAAAATTAGTATATTAAATTTAAGGAAGAAATAATAAATATCAATATAATGCTAAATTTTTATTTGGTTATATTAATTGTACAGAAATTTCTCCTAAATAATTATATTAATGCATATAGAAAAGTTTTCATAATTGTTTTATTTAACATGGTTTTAAGACAATAATGTGCAAAAACTGGTGGATTATGATCATATACATTCAAGACAAACTCAACCGAATGTTGCATTGATTCCATTCTAGAGACTATTTATTTGGATCTACCTACTTTACATATAGGGTGTAGGGGGTCAAAATTGGCGTCATTCTTCTGGAGGGGGGTATCTGGGGGTGTTTTGGGAGTACATGAAAAATAGTTTAAAAATTAAATGGTATAAAAACTTGTTGTAACAATTTTTCCTTAAACACCCCCAGACAGAACCTCCAGAGGAATGACGCCAATTTTGAATCACCCTGTATTATGAAAAGTTCCCAAAGGGAAATTCGAATTTTTATAAAAATCAAAATTACGACATTTATCTCAGATAGCAATAAAAAGTATGCAAATTTACCAATTAGTGTGAAGATCAATTTAATTTTTCCGTATCAAGTACCTATTTTCGAAACCATAAACTGTAGGATAAGACACCATTTCACATGTGGTATCTCCAATTACTACACTATCTGTACATTTTTCAGCTTGCGGAAGATTTTCCCGTGATGTTCTTTATTTTTGGAGGCGGTTTTCGTGAAGGAAATTCCTCCAAACTGTTCTACGGTCCCGATTTCTTGATGGAGCGAGGAAACGTAATTTTAGTTACCTTTAATTATCGCCTAGGTGCGTTTGGATTTATTTCAACTGAAGACGAGGTGCTACCGGGAAACGCAGGATTGAAGGATCAAAACTTAGCCTTACAGTGGACATATGAAAATATTATCTATTTTGGCGGAGACCCCAATAAAATCACAATTTTTGGAGAAAGTGCTGGTGGTGCGTCAACAGGATTGCACTTAGTCAGTAAGAAATCTGCAGGTAAAGAACACGAGTTTGATAATGTACTTTACTTACGTTTCGCTCTTGGATAACAGCATTTCGCCATCTAGAATTGTTCACTGAACAAGTTCAATCAGTACCTTATTCAATATTTCCTTAGACTAATGTACATTTCCTAACCAAAAAGGTAAATCTCCAGCCTACTGGTGGAACACCGAATTAGCGTTGCAACGGCAAAGATGCATCGAAGCAAGAAGGAGGCTAACAAGAGACAAAAAAAACAACACTATAAACACCAAAGAACTGAGTCTACACGCAAACATCTACAAAACAAATAAGAACGAACTAAAAATGTTGATACAAAGAAGCAAAAGGGAACATTGGAAGTCTCTGTGTGAGGACTTAGACAACGACATCTGGGGGAAGGCCTACCAAATAATAACGAAGAGAGTGAACATAAGGAAGCGAGTAATCCCGGATGACAACCCCATCAAAAGGCAAATCGAGAATCTGTTCCCGAAAAAAGCAGTAATAAACTGGATGGGGCCGGCAACTGCGCTGGATACTGCAATCACTCCCTTCAGCAAAGAATATATAAAAAATGCGTGCAAGGAAGAATGAAAAACAAAGCCCCTGGACCAGGCATTACTCTTGCAATACATGCAGAGTGCGTAAACAGCAACCCATTCGTATTCCTAAACATGTACAACCAATGTTTAGAAATTGCTAACTTCCCAGAAATCTGAAAAATATCCAGACTAGTGCTGATTGAAAAACCCAAGAAACGATCAAACGACGAGAATACTTACAGGCCTTTATGTCTAATAGATGTCGCGGTCAAAATTCTGGAATCGCTTCCCAAGAACAGAATCACTGAGGAAATGCAACAAAAAAACTTAGAACATCCGAACCAATACGGGTTTACTAAGAGCAAAGCAACCACAGATGCGATTCAAAAAATCTCCGAGATAGCAAGCAAATGTAAAGAAAAAATCTAGAAGAACCGCGACAAATGCCTAATGATTCTATTAGACATAAAAAATGCCTTTAATTCAGCACCTTGGGATGGCATTATAGATGCAATGGGGAAGGACGGATTCTCGCTCTACCTAGTGAACATAAATAAATCCTACCTGAATAGCAGATTCATTATAAGCCCAAACGGAGAAGAAATCCAAACCAAGTGCGGAGTGCCACAGGGTGCTATTCTTGACCCGACCTTATAGAACATCTTTTATAATAAAATCTTTAACACAGAACTCGGCGAGGGAGAACATCTTGTGGCATATGCCGATCTGGCACAAGACGCCAAATATGGCACAAGACGCTGAAGTATCAGCACTATAGGAACTTGCTAACTACCATAAACAGGAAGCTGGCAATCCTAATAACCTCCGCATATAGAACTGCACCAACGGTTGGTATAGAGGCTATTTCAGTCATGATCCCTATAGACCTGCTGGTAAAGGAAAGAATCGAGATAATCAACCTAGGCAGGGAGCACAAAAAAACGGCTGGGATCAAGACAATGACGATATAGCAAGAGAGATGGGAACAGTACAACGGCTGGTCCAAAACATTCATCCAGAACGTCACCAAGTGGAAGGAAAGCGAACTCGGGGAAACCAACTACTATTCCACGCAGGCAATCACAGGACACGAAGTTTTTGGATCTTATCTGAAGAAGATAAAGAAACAAAACAATTATGACTGCTGATTCTGCAAAGCAGTGGACCCCCAGAGCATACAATTTTTGATTGCCAGAAATTCACAGAAATAAGAAAGGAAGCAGAAGAAAAATGCAACGCCATTGTAAACAAGCAAAACATCAGCGAAATCATAACCAAAATTAATGCATGCTGGAAAGCAGTAACAGAAATGCTGGAAGAGATAATGAGAATCACAACAGAAGAAGAAAGGTGGAGAGAAAGGGAATAATTTATCTCTCTCTTACAAGTTCCGCGTTTAGGAACTTGTAAGAAACTTGGAAAAAAAATGTGTATTTCCTTAGAACACTTTTGTTTATTCAAAAATTATAAAAAATATAAACTTCTTGCTWATGATGTATATGTAATAATTATCCAAATGTAATACATTAGAAAACATTTTAGGCCTGTTTAGAGCAGCAATAGTTCAGAGTGGATCTGCCGTTAACTCTTGGTCCATATTAAGAGATTCGAAAACCTTGACATATAAATTAGTGAATGGCATACCTGGAGGCAATATTGTAAATACAAGCCAAGAACTTAAAACTTTCTTGAAATCTCGCAATGTTACAGAGATTATGGCATCAGAGAATGCTAATGAAGTAAGTTGCAGCGCATGTACGCAAAACTAATATTTAAAAAAATACTATTGAGTTATACTTGCTGATACAAGTATCCTTTGGACATAAGCCAATACATTGTAAGTATTAGATTTTAAAAGCAGTAGATTTTTCACGCCTTAAGTATTAACCAAAAATAATCTTTATATGTAAGGCTCTAACAGATGCTGAAAGTTAGTATTCAATTTAATAGTTATAATAATTAGTTATGTTTTACTAAGCATTTCAACGATTACTTTTTCACTTTAGATTTTGTTTGGACCAGTGTTAGAACCACCAAACGAAAATTCCTTCTTAAGCGAGTATCCTTATCAACTACTTGACACTGGCGATTTTAATCAAGTTCCAATTATAATCGGAATTTGCGCCGAGGAGTCGCTTCTGTTTTTAAAAGGTAATTCTGTTGAAACATGTTTTTAGTGTTCTAAGAAATTATGGTGCTGCCGAAACTTAATGAACTATGTGACTGAGATGTGTGATCATGGTTAACATAGGAGCCATGCAATTATTCATTATTTATCACTTTTATCAGTATGTGAAAAACAATCACACGCTCCAACTACATAATATATAATCTTGGACAAAAACTAAATTCAGTAACTTCTACTGTTTTATTTTTTGATATTTGCATCGTAATAATTTTTTATTTTTTTTTAATACCTGCTTAGATCTGCAGACGACGGCGCTGGCTGCTAAGAACGCCGACCTTTATCCAGCTCTCCTTATTCCTTCCGACTTGCTGCCCAACTCAACTGATGAGGACATTGTTGCCGAAGAAATTAAAAACATTTACCTTACAGATAATCAAACTTTTTCAAGCAATTTAACCGCTTACGCTGAGGTAAGTATTATTTCGTAACATATTGAAATTATACAGGATGGCTCAAGGTTGATGGTGATACCTATATGGAAAACGCGACTTGGGATGTTCTTTTTGCAATTGTTTTGCTTGGGCTAATTCTTTCCCATCCGTTTGTTTGCATCCGCAGTACGCATATATTATAGACTTCCCGTCCTAATTGTATAGGGATGATCTTGTTGTCTTGTGATGATAAAGTTGCCGATGTTGATCTTATGCTCCTTTTGATCTTTTCGAGCTGAATTTGTTCTCCCAATTTAATATTGTGACCCAATTATATATTTTCAGTTGACATGTTATTATTTTGGATATATGCAAAGTGATTCAAAATTGGCCTCCTTCTATTTAATTGGTTATAGGGTGAACTCCCCTTAGAGAGTACGAGAAAAATATTAAAATGTTTCCCAAAAATTTCTCTTGATAATCGAATTTTCACTTTATTAATAAGTATTATTTTGAAATGGTCTCATATTTTATTAGTAGCCTATTGAAATACTTAAGCATTGAAAAGAAAATTACAATTTTTACTTCAGGTTTTTAATTTTTCAATATCAAAAGTACTTACTTTTCTGCCATTCTTTGATGAAAATTGAAAGCGGCAACAATGTTTTTTTTATTATTTGGAAGTTGCAGGAAGATAGCTGTCTTCAAGAATTGCATGCCTTTGTCAAATTGTAACTTAGTTTAAAGCTTCATTCACAAAATCTTCACCAATTTATCAATATACGGATATGCTCTCAGTTATGGGGGGGAAAGCCACAGTAAAATAGCAGAAGCGGTTAGAACTTACAAAACAAAGCGCTAGAATAACTAGACGATTGGCTCTACAAATTGAGGCATATAATGGACCAGCAAGAGGTGTTCTTGTTCCAGACCCAGAGGAACAGAAATTGGAGAATTTGCAACAGAGCTTTCCTGGCGTGTTCAGAGTATTACACAACAACTAACACTTTCCCAGGCACACGCTAATTACCGAGAAAGGGCTACATTCCTACCATGTTTGTAAAATACACAGGAGACAAGGACACATTAAATATCTGGTCAACAAAACACTGGTAAAAATAGAGCTGGAGTTAATTAGCCGGATACGAAAAGCTGTCCAAAATGTGAGCCCAGACCGCTGCGAATAATGCACAAAAAAGTGATTGCAAGGGTAAAAGCATGCTTGGATGTAAATCGGCAGAATTTCGAATACCTCTTGTGATTTATTGACCATCGAACCATAGCCGTTCACAGGGAGGTTTTTGTTGACCTCTGTGGCGCATTCTGTTATATCACTCATCTTCTCAAAAAGGTTGGCAGCACTGACAGCAAAGTGACAACGTTATGTTCTAACCTCTAAATATTTTATTGTCACTTTCGCTTTCTGTACTGTGTGGCCATCTTTCTGGTCTAGTTACTGTCTGCACCCCGTAAATATCTTCAGAGGAATGACGCCAATTTTGAATCACCCTATATATTCGATACTGCTATAGACGTGATCATATGTTCTGCTCGCCCTCAATTTTATGAAAACATAAAAATTATTTCGGCCCTTAGTTGATTAAAATATATTAGTAACAAATACATCTGATAATAACTATTTTTAGTACCTGTCAGACGCTGGATTTGCCGTAGGCATTCTTAAGCATGCACAACTAACATCCAACTATATGCCAGTCCACTTATACCGATTTGCTTACTATGGAAGACCAGTGGCTATTCCATTCCTTGAAGGTAATGTTTTCTTCTATATTATCTAGTAGGGATATTTTTATGGATGATGGTATCGGACTATTTCTAGTCCGAAAAGTTAAAGAAATTCAACTAATCTCAACTTCTTCGGATGGTTCGATAATGGTTTCCGCCTTAAGGGCTGAAAAACTTTTCAAACGATCTTTTGTCTGGCCGTGCAATCCTTTATTATCTGATAATACTCGGATGTTCCGTACATTATGCGAAGAGGAAAATGAAGATATGACCTTTTTCATTGTAGCTGGATGTCTAGATTCAATAAATTTGAATGTTGCTATAATTCCGAGTCGGCAGACAATGCGTTCTATCATCGATTTAAACATTACAAATGTTTACCAGAGCTTTGACGATTATTAAGTAATTCCTCAATAAACAAATTCTTATATATATAAAAATGTATATAGCGGGTGGTTTCTTTTTATCTTGAAACGCTGACATTTTTAGGAAATTAGTGATCCTACGAGAAAATGTTTCAAATAAGAAACTGAAAAGAGAAAGATTATTCTTGTCAGGGAAAATATACCCTACATCGATCTTGTAGGCTGGGCAGGGGCCAACTTGAAAATTTGAAATAAACACACCGTTTTGCAGCATGCTCGAGTAGTACGTCAAAAAGTGAGAATGTTTTATCTAAACACTTAAAATTGTAGTGAGATAAATGTCAAGTAACTTTAAAATTCTAAGTAAAATGGTCAAACTGAAAAATATTTCAATTGAAATACAACATAAATTCTTAGCTTTTGTTAAATACATATTTCATTAACAACTCAAATTCAACAAAATAAAAATTGAAATAATTAAAGCAGATGTTCAAAATGGTGAGCTTCAACTTCAGTACATTTATTGATTCGTCTTTGAAATGAATGCACACAGCTTAAAAGCATATTTAACTGAATTTCGGCAAAGCTTCATACACTCTTTCATTAAAAAAAACTCACAATAAACCCTGGTGACGTGAGGTCTGCTGATGTTGCAGGCCAGCTTATAAGCCCAGCTCTACCAATCCAATTTGAGGATTAGTCCTTCAAGTGTGAATTAGATATTGTGCTGGATAACCATCGTGTTGAAACCACATGTTCTGTCTCAATTCTACATCAACATATTTGAGTAATATTGGCAATTACTTGTGTAGTTGGTTTCTGTGATTTTCACCATTCAGATTGCTCGCTTTAGTGTACTTCCACTGACCTTTTCCCCAAATATCACTCGGTTTTAAAAATTATTTCCATTAAGTTCTTGATGCAAAGAGAGATGATAAGCTATTTAATATATCGTCGCAAACTAAAGTGAGGATAATCAGTCTAATTATCTTCCCCGGTAGCTGTTCTTTGAAAAGTTTTTTTTGGCTTTATGCTTTGTTCCCTAGTAAATTGCTTAACTCTTCAGTGAAAGAATGAAAGTGCTCGCGCCCTACCTGGAAAATGCTGAGCGTAAAGAGCGACAGCATGATAAAGAATTATTCCGGCATCTCCATAAACCGACATCATTTGAATATGTTCATCCACAGTTAATATATCCATGTCAAAAATTAATTTAGAAAATATATATTTTTAAAATCTAGTACCTAGTATTTTCAATTTTATTTACAACTTTTCGTAAAAGAATAGTATACATTTTGGTTCGAAACTTTTATTGATTTCAAGTGAAAATTGCGATTCTGTTATTCTACAAAAATATTTACATCTACATAGGTTACCTGTGCTCACTGGGTCCACATCACTACAGATTTAAAAATTGAATAAAACATAGCAAAATACACTTTTAAGTAAAGGAAAGTTTTATATTTTAGGAGCAGAAAAAGCCACACATTCAGCTGAAATGCCATTCCTCTTCAACATCAGCACGTACAGCAACACTAGTGACTCTCAAGACTTACTAATTCAAAAGCAGATAACTACTCTTTGGGCCAATTTTGCAGTATATTTGTGAGTAGTACCGAAACGAATACAGTCACTCTTCGAACATCTTCTTCGACTGATTTTTCGAAAAATCATTTATAATAGTATATGATCGAATAAAAGTTGAAAGGATCACTCTACGTGCGAATGGAAAAGTTGCGTAATTCCGCAAGTTTACATTACGACCGCATTAACTAACTAAAAGAAAGGATAATTTATTATATTGTTAAATACACCAGTTCTCACAACGATCGGAATGCTGACAGAAGCCCAGAATTGCCCAGTATTAAAAGATTGGAACGTTATACTTTATAGAAACGTTACCTTTATAGACAAATATTGTATTGTAAATATAAATATTGGACAGTTTTAATGTTCTTTGCAGGGAAAATCTTGAACTTCGACGCTTTTAAGACCATCAGACTTTCTTTTCAGAAAGGTTCTAGTAATTTGGTATAAGTGGTAGTGTTTACATTGTGATGAATGCTGTTGTTCGTAACGCAGAATTGAAGGATCACTTCGAGGACGGTTTCTCCTTACATGATAATTTTGGAAGCAATCTAACAATACATTCTCCAAAAAAAATTTCAAATGAGCAGCTTCCCATTTTTGACGAGGTTTTGTTGGTAGCAAGTAGTTCGTAGTTGCTTTCTGCTATTTGTATAATATTTGGAGGCGTTAAAGATTCCTTTAACATTTTATAATAGAGGCATTTCGTTTAATTTGAGGTTCAATTTTCTAATTTAACAATAGTATTTGACGAATAATAATATGTCGGTTAGACAGAATTTAACCGTAACAGAAACGTGCGTTTGATTTACAATTCGTAAAATGTAACTTACTTAGATTGTGGATAGTGTGTCTTGTACTACTCTAGGTGGTGGTGGCAGATAAAGTGTATTTAAAAATTGCTTCCCTTCTTTAAAATTTCACCTTTCGCCACTGGGTCTATGCTATACTTTTTTAGGTTTACTTTTAAATTTTCTGTTTATTATTTCAAGCAAAAGAAATGTAGATTCGTTGTTTACTACGACAAATAATGAGGAAAACACCAACCAACGTGCTATATCAAATTTTTAAAACACCCTGTGTGTTTCAGTTTTAATCGAAACCAAAATATAGTGTAAACTTTTTTAATCACCTTTTTACCATAGAAATTATCAAAATTACTTCTGACTCTTTTGATACTTTAAATGTTGCTTTGGACTTGTTGTAATATTCGTTCAGAAAATTACCAAATTGAGTGTTTTTAAGTTGACATGCGAGAAGTTTTTAAAAAATTACGATTTTTAGAAATCCGACTCCTGATGAATCCAATCTGCTGACTAACCTAATCTGGCCTGCCTTAGATGACGAGCAGTCATTCCTAAATATAAATAACACACTCGAGGTTGGAACACATCTAAAAGAAGAAATATATTCGAAATGGAGTTCCATTTACGAGACTTACGGGAGAAAGCCATTCATTACTTTCTAACATGAATTAGAAATCAAGTTTGGATCAAGTTTTTATCACTTATCTACAAAATATGTTAATAAATATTCATAGGGAATATGATAGCCTGCTTGAAGTTAAAATCCAAGTTGGAATAAAACATTTGAGCAGTTATAAATAAATATTTTTATTATGTTGTGATTATTTTACTTTAGATTACTTCAATCGTATAATGGAACCAAGACTTTCTAGAGAAACATACGTACCGTGTGTCAATTTGAAATCTTCCCACCTTTGATATCTTTCTTGCAGTTGAAAATATGAAAAATCGGAAATGCCTGTCAATTTTATTTATAAGGGGGAAACTGTAAAAACAATTAAACTTGAGTGCTCTCAGGTTTTGGTTATCATTTCCACAAAAATTATTTTATTGGGTCTCCTTATAATACAGATGATTAGAACAGTAGGTTTCACTTTTAAAATCGTTGAATAATAAGAAAAACATCTAAATTGCAAACAATTTTTTCGAACATTTCTAGAATATATTAACAGCTGAAACTGTTTCAACTGCTATTCATTCCGAATTCGTCCCTTGTTTGAATGGTACCTTATTAAAATACTTATAAAATCGAAAAGAAAAATTGCCACCTTTACAATTTTTTGCTACGAATTTTGTTTCACCAGAATGATTTTCTGCAAAGTGTTTTAAATAATTTTTTGTACAGAAACTGTGTCTGACGAAAACTTGACATGAGGCAGAAAAGCTTTAAAATAAAATCCGCTGGTAACAGAAAAAAATGGAAATTATTTGTACAGGGATAACAGAAATACAAATATTTTTTAACGAAACAATTAACATTTTTAATTTGTTTACACATTTAAAAAAACCGAACTTGTCAATTCGTTCAAACTCCTCAATTTATGCAGTAATGGTTGATTCCAAAAGTAGTCAAAATCGATATAGACGTTTAAAAATTATTTGAAAAAAGTTATATTAATTTGAGAACTTCCGCGCCCTGTAGTGGCTAAATGAAGCAACATTAAATATAGGCAAGATCTATATATCTATTTCGGTTTTGCTTTCTTGGTTTTAGGTCTTTATTTTTAAAATGAAACAGTTAAGCTACATATTTCTTTAAATGTGTGGTGCACTTTATTGGTTTACGTTTCGACCTGATTCGGTCTTCATCAGAACACAATATTTGCCATCAGTGACTGGTTATCTTAAATAATTAACAATTATTTTGTTTACAATTCACTTTTTTATTTATTTTTTTATTGAGCTCACCTAGAACGTAAATTAGTTTATTTGTTGGTGTTACAAATGAACATTCTCGACCATGTTATTACCCACTGAGACGCAATTTATTTTGGGACCCTAAAAGGTGCATTGTTTTTAGTGTTAATATATATTAACGAATCGAATTGTGCCTAATTTTGCCCATTTAACGGATTCTGTATGTTTAAAAATGTAGAAGTTACCCATACAAAGATTCAGAAAATGGCCACCCTGTATATATATACAGGGTGATTCAAAATTCGCGTCATTCCTTTTAAGGGGTGATAGATGCTCCCTTGGGGAGTACGAGAAAAATATTGAACATTTTGTTTTCGAAAATTTCTAGAAGATGTTAACAGTTGAAGATCGAATTTCAACTTTGTTATTAAGCATTATTTTGAAACTGTTCCATGTTTAATTGGTAGCATATTGGAATACTTAAGCATTCAAAAAGAAAAATTACGATCATTGCTTCAAATTACGAAAATTTTGGATATCAAAAAAGCGCCAGCCAGACAGCACCTCCAGAGGAATGACGTCAATCTTGAATCACCCTGTATAGATCTATATATATATATAGCAAAGCCTAGATCGGCTTAGAAATGCACCGGATAAACAAATATATCTATATATGACAGAAGGCTATATATAATTCGTATTCAAAATTAAATTGGAGACAATATGGTGATACCGAGGACTAGAGAGGAATGAAAATCGAAAATATTTGAGTTTGAAAGTAATACATCAACATCATGTAACTCACCCCTTCTTATTACATACAACATAAATACATAAATACAACACTTGCTTGTATTTATTTTGCTTGCAGTGACGTAATTTTATATTCATTTGCAGGAAGGTAAATGATTGTTTTTATTTGCTTGTAAATATATGGGTATTTGTTTAAATGCTTGTAGAATATGAATCATTTATTTTATAAAAGTATACAAAGTGCATATAAAGATATTTGCACCTTGTGAGTTTGATAATGTTGGTGTATTCGAGTATTCGATTATTCGAGTTATGACTACACATAATTATTCGCTTTTTGAATATTCGAATACTCGAATTATTTGAGTATGATTCCGAGCTCTAATGTAAACATTACGTTTAACTACGTATTCAATCTTGTATTACTTATACAATTGGTTCAAAATGACATTTTTGCAGTGTCGTTAAATGCTCAATGCGTGCTGAACGAGATGCGGTTTTTTTTCGATTTAGCAGCAGATAAATAGAGGAGAGAGATCATTTGAATGCTTTGTCTAGTGAACGTCAAAATGTTTGTGTTAAGGCTTTAAAACAGGTGGTTCTAAGTGAAATCCATATGAGAAATGATCCTATTTGCTTAGGACATTTCATAACTGGTAAGTATTTGTACATAAAAGTGATTTTTGATACTGTTTATTTTTGAGTGAAGAAACACAATTTGCCTCGGAAAACCTCTCCAGATTTGTTGCCCAACTTAAATTTAGGATACATTTCAAATCTGCCTGCCTACTCCCTATTTAAAAGGTTTGTAAAAAGAGCTAGAATGAAGCCAGAGGTTGGTTGTTATAACATTAAAAGGCATAATGTTTTTAAGCTGCTGTTTTTAGGTCCCAGCTGAAGTTGTTTCTGCATGGTGTACAAGAATTTGATAGTGTTTCAGAATTTATTGAAGAAATTTGAGCAAAGCAGATTTATGGATGCTGTGTTAGTGAGTCCGTTCAAACTGCTGTACCTAACTGACGAATATTCAAGTCGTATTTTGGAGTGTATTTTTTCCCTAACGTGTGTAGCCTTGAACCGTTCCAGACTCAGCAAACTTGTAAACCTGCAAATCTATATAAGCCTTGAGCTGTAATCCAATGTAAAAACTGCGGCTTTAAATATTAAGTAATTCACCCAATACGTCGTGATATTGGGGAACTTATAAATATCAAGCCGTAATCACCAAGGGGGATCAAACAAGTGTCAAAAACTTCAGTTTGTTTATTGTATCTGTTCCTCGTATCTCCACTAAGTCTTGCATAGTATGCACTTCAAGACATAGTTATCCTCATCGGACATTTGTTCTAAATAAAAATATTCTCTTTCCTCAGCCTGATAACCATGGCTGTTTATAAATATAAGTATTATCAAAAATTTAATATTCAAGTTCATTTTCACTTACTCCGCGTATGAGTGGCTTCTAGAATTTCCTTCATTATAACAATAAAGCGTAAATGATCAAACAGCAACCAAAATCCAATTGAAAAGATAAATAATACAAATACACCAACGTAAAATTATTAATAATAAATTGTGTAAGGTTAGGATACACAATAACACATTTTTAATACTGAAAGCAGTGAACTAGGCATTCCAATAACTATCATTTCGTTACAGAAATAACGCAAATGCAGTATTAAAATAAGGAATAACATTAGTACTGCATGACAGTATTTAGCATGTCCAATAGCTCTCTAATAGTGTAAAAATAGTTATGCTTATTCGAAATCAGTAAAGCAAAGAGAGAGAAGTATAAAGAATGTATTAAACTTCAGCTGCTTCAGTTGCTTGTCGGAAAACTAAAATCAGATCAAGCTAAAAGATTTGTAGATTAGAGATCATTCCTACTAGATTTCTGCAAGCTAAGGCCCCATCCTCCATTTTCTACTCATTGATATTCTAAAAGTTTACTACACTTTTACGAACTACCGCACTTGTCATAAGGGCCACAATGATTATCCACCAATTTCGCGCACTGTCGGTAGCAAGTTACATTCATACACCTTTTCTGAAAAAAACTACAAAATAGAGATGATTATATAAGGATGTGCCTGTTCGTCCTTTCGATGATTAATTGCTCTGCTCTTGCTTGGCAGTTCGATTTCAGTTTTTTTATTGTTGACATTTTTGTGGAAAGTGCCTGTTCGCAGTGCAGTATTTCCCAGGGTAAATTTTGCGTTCCAACTTAACCAAAGTCAACAACAACTAAACGGAAAAACGCTCCAAGCGCCGATATTTCACTAATTTAATTTTAAATTTATAGCCATTCTCATTTGTCTGAATTTCATTCAAGCGCAATGATTAATGCACATCGCCAAAACTAAAATAAAAAGCCGAATTAATTTAATTTTTCTAAAAATATTGACTTGACGAAACCAAAAACCGCGAAGAAATTACTTAAAAATTGATCAATCAATTAAACTGTCGCTTAATTTTCGAGCCATGATAGAAACCAATAAAATTTCAACTAATTAAAAATGTCTTTTAAAAGTTCTGATTTGAAGAATTATTTTGCTACAGGCGCAACTAGAGGTGCGGTGCTCAACACATGACCGGATGGTGTCCCAGGCTTAGCCCGATGCATTCAGAGAATACGTGGTACCATGTCTTACTCATCTATCGTGTACAAGTACAGATATGCCGCAAAAAAATACATTACAATTAAATGTCACCTTGTGGGTACTATAGCTATTACCCAGAAGATTAAATATTGTCAAAAATGGCTATCTAGTATGAAAACGGTTCTAGTACAGATTCTCCCAGTTATGCAAAAAATCCGGAATCTAATCAACTACTTGAGCCATTATTTATATGAGTAGTATTGTTATCTATTATGTTTATATAATCATGCCATCTATACAACTATCAAACTTAGTACGTCTATATATAATGAGCTACTTGTCAACACATTAAGTTTAGTTTTACTTAGTAAATTGAAATGGTGATATCACTATTTGTTGCGGCACTTCTGTTTCTACAGGCAAGCATATTTGCTAATTTAATAATAATAGTAGTTGTTGAAAACATCTGTTTACCCTAACAACATTAAAAAGTTTGTTTATTGAGAAACATTGAAAGCACAAATTGAACTGTTAGTGCTTAATTTGTTGTATTAATTTCCAATTTATTTAGGCTTCCGTTCAAGCGGCAGACTTACAAATAGC